ATAGCAGGAGATAGCATCTCTCAAGCGATCATATGTGAAAAGGCTAGGAAGTTGCATGACGATTTAATGAAAAAAATGCCAGCAACTAGTGGTGATGTGAGTGAACTTAAGGCCAGCAAAGGTTGGTTTGAGAGATTTAAAGGGAAGGGAAGTAACCCCGGAAAAGGACTTGCCACCTCAAGTCCTAATGGAAGGGGATTCCCCTTCTAAACACTAAGACCATCAGCACTCTCCCCTCCTCCCATCCCAACAATCATCACCAGATCTTCAATAAAGGTAAGTGTCATGTAACTGTGCATGTCTTCTTCAGTTTGTGTGTATTAAAATTAATATTTCATGTGGTAAAAACAATTTTTTTTTTCATACTTTGGGGTGTATTACACGGATTAATTTGATTTCCATTATTTCTTATGGGGAAAATTAACTTGACTAACGATAATTTTGACTAACGATGAGCTCTCAATAACGGATTAATAGCGTTAGTCGAGGGTCCACTGTATATGGAATAGGTGGTAAGTTACTAAATGCTGTTAAGAGTTTTTATGAGGATAGTGAGGCTCAGGTTAGGGTGTGTAGAAGAGAGGGTGACTACTTCCCGGTAAAAGTAGGTCTTAGACAGGGATGTGTAATGTCAACATGGTTGTTTAATATATTTATAGATGGGCTTGTAAAAGAAGTAACTGCTAGGGTGTTCGGGAGAGGGGTGGGATTAAATTATGGGGAATCAAATACAAAATGGGAATTGACACAGTTGCTTTTTGCTGATGATACTGTGCTCATGGGAGATTCTAAAGAAAAATTGCAAAGGTTAGTGGACGAGTTTGGGAGTGTATGTAAAGGTAGAAAGTTGAAAGTGAACATAAAAAAGAGTAAGGTGATGAGGGTATCAAATGATTTAGATAAAGAAAAATTGGATATCAAATTGGGGAGGAGTATGGAAGAAGTGAATATTTTCTGATACTTGGGAGTTGACATGTCGGCGGATGGATTTATGAAAGATGAGGTTAATTATAGAATTGATGAAGGAAAAAAGGTGAGTGATGTGTTGAGGTATATGAGGAGACAAAAAACATTATCCATGGAGGCAAAGAAGGGAAGGTATGAAAATATAGTAGTACCAACACTCTTATATGGGTGTGAAGCTTGGGTTGTGAATGCAGCAGCGAGGAGGCGGTTGGAGGCAGTGGAGATGCCCTGTCTAAGGGCAGTGTGCGGTGTAAATATTATTATGCAGAAAATTCGGAGTGTGGAAATTAGGAGAAGGTGTGGAGATATTAAAAGTATTAGTCAGAGAGCTGAAGAGGATTTATTGAGGTGGTTTGGTCATTTAGAGAGAATGGATCAAAGTAGAATGACATGAAGAGCGTATAAATCTGTAGGGGAAGGAAGGCGGGGTAGGGGTCATCATTGAAAAGGTTGGAGGGAGGGAGGGGGTAAAGGAGGTTTTGTGGGTGAGGGGCTTGGATTTCCAGCAAGCGTGCGTGAGCATGTTTGATAGGAGTGAATGGAGACGAATGGTATTTGGGACCTGACGATCTGTTGGAGTGTGAGCAGGGTAATATTTAGTGAAGGGATTCAGGGAAACCAGTTATTTTTATATAGCCAGAATTGAGTCCTGGAAATGGGAAGTACAATGCCTGCACTCTAAAGGAGGGGTTCGGGGTAGCAGTTTGGAGGGATATGTTGTGTATCTTTATGGGTATATGCTTCTAAGCTGTTGTGTTCTGAGCACCTCTGCAAAAACAGTGATTATGTTTGATTATGTGTTGAATGATGATGAAAGTATTTTCTTTTTGGGGATTTTCTTTCTTTTTTTGGGTCACTGCCTCGGTGGGAGACGGCCGACTTGTTGAAAAAAAAAATATACGTCTTATGAGCCAGTGTTTCGAACATATTAATACTCATAAATTCTAGCGGCTTCAAATCAAGCAGGAGAAAGCTGGTAGGCCCACATGTGAGAGATTGGGTCTGTGTGGGCAGTGTGCACCACATAAAAAAATCCTGCAGCATGCAGTGCATAATGAGAAAAAAAAAATGCCTGTTTTGTTGGATTAAAACACCGACTTTGAGGTGTATTTTCATATAGTATTTATCATTGTATTCTCATTTTCATGGTCTCACGTGATAAAATGGAAAACATATTACATAAATAGAGATGATTTTGATTAGTTTCACGATGAAAGTGACCTTGAAATTGAGCTCAAAGTAGCGGAAATGTTCGATTTTTACCAATGTTCAGGAGTAAGCAAATCACACCACACGTCCAATACACGTCAACTGGGGAGTCTAATATTCTTTCACTACTTCACTGATATTATTTATACCATTTTTACAATAATGTAGTAGTCTGCATAACAGTAAATTTTGTATTTTTTGTACGAATAAAAAATCAAAATAGAAAGCAATAGTAATATAAGAGGGGCCTTGAGATGTGACTAATGAACAGAGGATATGTTATTTTAGTGCCAAGAATGTCTACATTGTTTATTCTGGACCCTGTTTTGAAATTGGCATCTTTTTTAATTTTCGCGAAATTGGCTAAATTGCCAATTTCTGACCACTTTATTGGGTAATTCAAATCGTTAAATGGGTGGTTTCTTGTACTCAACTGATATAAAAAATGGAGTTCTAAAGAAATAGCTATGAGTTTGGTCATCCAAAACAAAGGAATTGGTCAAAAACAGCGCTCAAAGTCGGCGAAATTGCCAATGCATATATGTCGCTGAGACCGCTAACTTCGCGGGAGCGTAATTCCGTGAGTTTTCCATCAAATTTTGTACTTTTGGTGTCATTACCATCGGGAAAAGATTCTCTATCATTTCATAAGAAAAAATATTTTTTTTCCCAAAAATTTTGCGACATAGAATGACAGTTTTAGAGAGGGCCTTGTGATAGTCAAAGGGTTAAACTGTCCAAATGTAGATCTGCATTTTCACTGCTAGCACTCCAAATACTTTGAAAAAAAAAATTACTTAAAGAGGGCAATTTTCTGTGTGTAATAAGACCAAAAAAAAAAAAATTTACCAGATATGAGACTGTGAAGTTGGCCCTGGATGCTCACCTGATGGCAACATGGAGTCATGTTGCTTGCAGAGGTGTTGCCGATATACCAGCCAACCGGTCACTCGGCCTGCCAAACACGTATTACACATGTTCCAGAATCGTTTCTCTTTTCTTAGGGCATAGGTTATAGGACATTTTGACAGGATGACACTACCAGTGGTATCAGAAATGAAAGGATGTTGCACAAATGTTGCACATGGGTTATTATTGAGATTTTTTATATTTCCTCGACCACTTGTGGCCACATCCATCTCAAAGCCACTAAACTCTGGGTCAGCATCACTTTCCTCTTAAAAGGGGAGTGTTAACATGACATGAAATTAGTGAATCCCTGGTGTTTGCCACGTTATTTGCCCTAGCTGGTGCTCAGTTGAACTGGTGCTCCCACAAGGTACTAAGTGGTCCCAGATTTTTTAATACTGCACACACTGAGTGTTAGGACTCATTCTCTACTGACCAGGCATCTCAGGCCAATCATGCCAAAGTTGAAGGCAGGAAAAATAAAACAGATCTACGTTTGGAGTGCTAGTGGTACAAACGAAGATCTACATTTGGACAGTTTAAGGGTTAATTCTATCATACTTGCTCAGTTCTCATTTTAAAATGGCTAAAATTGTGTGTAGTAAAATTTGTAAAGAACTACAATAAGTTTATTTTCTCTCTGCTACTAAGTGTTCTTCTGTATGTAACACTGCACATTGCAAGATGCAAACATCGCAACTCTACTGAAGGTGCAATGCACATCTTGTTTGTTTAGCATTGGGCACTCTATGGCCCACATGGGTTTGGTGCATTTTTGTAAATAATAGTAATGTTAATAATAATAATAATGTTAATAATAATAATGATAATAATAATTGTTTAGAAGTCTCCTATAAAATAACTCGTCTTCTATCTAAATTTAACAGTTACACATTAATACAAAGAAATTTTTATAGAACTTACACATTCATTAACTTTTAAATTTTGTTGAATACATAAATATAACCACATTTAAATAATGCTAGTAATAAGGCACAGAAATATTTGAGAATTTATTGATTTTGGAGGTAAGTTTTGAAAATCGTTGAAGCTCTTATCTCCACATACAGGTATTACCAACATAAAGATGATTTACAGGTATATGGTATATTTATTATAATCTACTTACAGTGAAGACATTCACTTTGTCTTTGCATATATTTCTAATGAAAGATAATGTAACGTTTATAAATGTGTAATTAATTATTTCATCTTCACCTTTTGTGTGAAACTGATTTGTATATGTATGTATGTGTGTGTGTATTTTATTTATTTACTTACAGTATATACTGTGTGTTATGGTTATTTGTGTCTTTATTTCAGTTTTTGCAGTTGCATGATGTGGTTTTAAAAGGTGTTCTTTCATGTAAATTATTCTGATAAATTATTGAAAGCAAAAAATAAATAACAGTATAACATTTTTTTAAATTTTATTCTAGAATATAATGAAAGAGTTCTTTTTGTCTATTTGTATGTCAACAGAGGATCAAAAGAATTTTAATTTTGCTTGGAGTACGGAAGTTATTTCTATTGTATTATATTATCTCATTGCTTAATGAGATTGCTGTTTTCTTTTCTGCCACAGGATTTACTGTATACCCATAGTCATATTAGGTGCAATACTATTTGTACAAGGCATCAAAGGCGTAAGGGTTAAGGTAATGTAGTTTTAATATAAAAAATCTTTCCATGTTTTTTATAATGTCACAATTTCTAAATCCTTAATATGTATATGTATATACATATTTAAGGAAAACTCAAAGAATCTGATACCACCATGAGCTAAGACAAAAATCTTAGGAAGTCGGAGGCTCTCACTACATAGGCTGGGATAAATTAAGAATGATTCAGTCAGCAAAAATGTGGTACCGGATTCTTGAATTCTTCGTTTATTAATTCTGCCTGCACCATTCCAGTGGATAAAGAGAAGGAAAAAACATACCTCCGGCAAGCCTCCGCACCGTTGCTTAAACGCAAGACCTCGAAATTTGGACTTGGTCAATTCATAGGCTCAAACCAGTCCAATCATTTAGACTCAGGTATATCCTCTCTTTCCCTGGCTTGACCTCCAAAATTTATGGGCCACAGATACATAGATACTGAGGACACATTTCTGGGTCTACAACTCTCATTGTATACAATATTTGTTACATAACTATAAATCACATTTGAAAATAGAACGAAAATTACATAATTAGTTAAGAAGGCCCAGAGAAGTAGAATTTATACACTCGGTCAGGTCATATAGTTTATGGTCTACAGTGTTTTTTAATGTGTGTGTGTGTGTGTGTGAGCATGCCTGTGTGTACACACGCATGTGTGTTTATGTGTATGTATGTATGTAAATTTTGCTTAATATGGCAAGTCAGTAAAACAAGCAAAACTATTTTAAAGCCTGAAATTTTCAAACATTTTATCGTAAATGTTGATCTTCGTGTGTATTCATACGAAGTATTGTGGTACAGTATGCGAATGTTTAATTTTACATCAAAACTATCTTAGCAGCTTGGTTTAAGCTTGGTAAATTTATGTATTATAATATAGCTTAATCCTACCAAATGTATCTAAATTAATTATTAACTAACATGAATTAAATATATTTTTTTGGTGTTCTAATAATTTTCTCAAGGTTATAGTAAATACAGTGTAACTGATTTATGCTTTGCCACAAAAGCAAAACAAATGTTGTTTACTTAGCAACAAATATCTTGCAAAGAAACTGAATAAGATAGCATGATGAGTTTAAACACTAAACTTGTATGGGTCATATAGCACTGTGGGTTTGGGATTTGTGAGGGGTAGGAATGTGCTAAAGTTTGGAGTGTGCTAGGGAAAGGGGTGTGCTAAGGGAAGGAGTGTGCTAAGGAAAGGGGTGTGCTAGGAGAAGGGGTGTGCTAGGAATGGGGTGTGCTTAGGCAAGTGTGCTAGGGAAAGGGGTGTGCTAGGAAAAGGGGTGTGTTAGAGGAAGGGATGTGCTGAGGGAAGGGGTGTGTTAGGGAAAGGGTTGTGTTAGGGGAAGGGGTGTGCTAGGGAAAGTGATGTGTTAGGGGAAGGGGTGTGCTAGGGGAAAGGGGTGTGCTAGGGTATGGGATGTGCTAGAGAAAGGTGTGTGTTAGGGGAAGGGGTATACTAGGGAAAAGTGTGTGCTAGGGGAAGGGGTGTGCTAGGGAAAGGGGTGTGCTAGGGGAAGGGATGTGCAAGGGCAGGACTGTGCGAGTGTAAGGGTTACTGGAGGCATGTATTAATTTTTGCTCTAGCTCGGGGAAAATAAGTCTGAACGTTACAAAGATGCTTGCTTGGTAAGATAAAGAAACTACTGCTTCTTTTAAAATAGTAAAATAAGGCCTTGGTTATATACGCTGCATGACAGATGCTTCAAAATGTATATATGAAAAATAAAAAAATAATACCCATAAAATAATGGTTATTTCAACACTTTTAGCAGATACTGTAGTGCTCATTCAGCTATCTGTGATTAGGTTATAAATAACAATATTAGTTCCATGTATCATATTCTAAATTTGATTGTCCTTAATTCTATCATCATGCTTAAAATTAAGGTAAATAATTTTATAAAGTCAGTCATATTATTTTAAGTGAGTAAAGTAAGCTTTACAAGTTCATGGTACTCTAAGTTCAATGATTTAGATTATTTGTTGTTTCAAGTGAAAGGTGACAAGTGTTCTAGTACAGCAGATCCTTGAATAATGTCATTTTGTTTAATGTCGTTTCATTATAACAGTGAGAAAAAATATTTGATTTCCGGCTGGGGCCACTGTCTGTGTGGGGACAGTAAAAAAAATCATAAAGTATATAATAATCATACAAATGCTCAACAATAAATGATGCAGTACGAAAGCACTCTGCGAGCCACCATATTTGTTATTGTTTGTTTTTGAACTGTGTGGTGGTAGGAGGTGCTCCTTACAATTTTCACTTTGCAAACATTATTCCTTGATTTAATCCTGTTGCAATGAGTGCTAAAGGTACACTGTGCACCCTTGATGACGATGGGTGGCGAAGTGTCTTGTTTATATCAATTAGCCTATAGTAAAATTGGTTTCGTTGTGTACATTGTTTTGCTTAAAGTCACAGTTGCCAAGAACCTATTGATGACGTTAGGCGAGGACTTACTGTATACTGTATATATTCTTAGGTTTTCAGAGGGGGCCCACTTGGTTTTGGCCTGGTGCATGATCCCTAAACCAAAAACAAACCTTAAAATGCTATTGAAAATATGCTCATTAGCATTCTCATGTCCAACTTTAGCAGTATTTGTGGTTTCTGAATTTGCTGGTAGGTGTTTAGCTAATAATATTCCATCACTAGCAACTGGTAAAATGAGTGTAACCAATGACATGGAGAAACTACAACACTGGTTTACAGCACTGATCTTTAGATGTGTTTTAATATACTGTATGTTTTTATAAGTTCGTGTAACCTAATTCAACGTAAGAGAATTTGAATAAAAATTAACAAAATAATGAATATAATAGTAAGTTTACAGGAAGCATTAAGAAAGCAATGTAAAAATGAACAAAGTAAAATGATGAATAAAGGTTGAATGTGGGGTGGAAAAAAGAGAGGGCTAAGAGGTTAGATTAGGTTTAGTAAGATCCATCAGGTAACAGGACAAATACTTCCTGACTCCTGACATGGGTCTTAGTCAACTGATGACCCACTGCTGGAAAAGGTAAGAGGCTATATATTTATGAATGTGCAATGCAGTCACTGAATAACAAAAGACATATTCAGCAGAAAAAGACATGGTAAATATGATTTGTGGGAGTGAGAGGCCAAGTGTGTTGTGTACAAGGGAAGTGGGGGTCATTAGACTTTACAAGCACAGAAATTAGCCAGAACTTTGATAAATAATATACTGTAACTTGTTGGTGTTAAGTTATTTTTAATAAAGTTAGGCTGACTTTAGATAGGTTAGGTAGGATTAAGTTATATTCTAGCTAGGCTTGGTAAGGTTGCTATTCAGTTTAATTGAATTACTGTACATAAATTACATTCAGTAATCTGAAGGCAAATATAATGCACAGCATTTTGGGCATAGCTTAATTTAGCCATAAAATATATGAAGATTTACTTTTTTTAAGGGACACACACAAAAAGATACAAAGTCTAAGACAATTCAGAATTTAAAATAAAAAAAAAATTACAATTGTTTAGTTATCAAATGGCAAGCAGTAGTTTTAAGAAGTTACAATACAAAAAATACAATACTTATAAGTTCACTGGTACTAGTTTAAGAAGTTACAGTGCAGTTCTTATAAATTCACTGCTACTAGTTTAAAAAGTTGCAATACAATACTTATAAGTTCACTGGTACTAGTTTAAGATGTTACAATACAAAACAATACCTGTAAGTTCACTGAAGATTGTTCCTGCACACATGGATTCAGGGAGTTAAGGGCAAGGATAATTCTGTGTAATATTCTTAGTAAAAGAGCTATGACTGAAAGAAAGAATTGCAGCGTGTGATACAGCATAGTTAGTTTTGGAGTTAAATTCAAAATTTCCATGCCTGTACTTTGTTAATTCTTTTGAAAATATCTGTTTGTCCATAAAAAGTATCAAAATAGTTTATGCTTGAGAAAATTTGGCTTGTTTGACCACTAGCTATAAAGCATGACATGCTCTACATACATACACACATATGTACACACATACATACACACATATATACACATACACATATACACACATACATAAACACATACATACACACATATGTACACACACACATACATACACACATATGTACACACACACATACATACACACATACACACCCACATACATACCCACACATAAACATGCATATACATATATTCATACATAAATACATATATATGTGAATAAGACATTATGAAATTTATGGCATCTTCATATTGCCTTATTCACATACTTGTCAGTATATTTTACATTTGATATTTACTCACATAGTATGTATGTACATGTATGTATGTGTATGTAAATATATGTATGTGTGTGTGAATATAGATAAGAGCAAGGTTATGAAAGATTGGATATCACATTGGAGGGAGGGAATATGAAGGTTTTTGAAGGTGTTCAGTTATTTGGGAGTGGATTTCTTGGAGGATGGGTATATGAAAGACAAGATGAACCATAGAATTGATGAAGGATAAAAAGTGTGTGGTACATTGAGGCATCCATGGAAACAAAGAATGTTATCCATGGAGGCAAAGAGGGGAATGCATGAGAGTATAGTGGTACCAACACTATTAAATGGGTGTGAAGCATGGTTTGTGAATATTGCAGTGAGGAAGGGGCTGGAGGCAGTGGAGATGTATCTGAGGGCAATGTGAAGTGCAAATCTTATGCAGTGAATTTATATCTTGGAGATTTGGAGGTGTTGTTGAGATGGTTTGAACATTTAGAGAGGATGGAGTAAAATAGGATGACTTGGAGGGTGAATAAATCTGTAGTGGAGGGAAGATGGGGTAGGGATCGTCCTAGGAAATGTTGGAGGAGGCGGTAAAGGAGGTTTTGTGTGTGAGGATTGAATATCCATCAATCATGTGGGCATGTTAGATAGGAGTGGAGGCAAATGGGACTTGATGAGCTGTAGGGGTATGAGCAGGGGTAACATTTTGTGAAAGATTCAGGGAAACTGGTCCTGGAGGTGGGTAGTACAGTACCTGCACACATACACACTCACACCCACTCATTCATTATTATGTGGCCTCAAGTACCTATGACATTACTTTCCTTGGAAAAGTGTTAATTTTTTCTTGTTGTTGATTGTATCCTATGGCCATTTTAACATTGTAGATCCCTTAGTAGTCCGATATTCTCTTAACCTTTTGTTGTCATATATTTTAGTGCTATTTCTATAACCTATTTTTGGTTGTTGCCTTTTCCCTGACCTTTCTTCTCAGATGTTCTGTGTTTGTAAAACCAACCATTTTTTTCTTTTCTGAAATTCCCATCTCTTGAGTGTGAGGAAAAATTCATCTGATACCTATGACATACCTGAGAACTCTCTTGTGAGAGTTTTACCCCTACA